ACAGCAAGAAGCCTCCCAGATCTCCAGATGCATTTGAGATATCAAAAAAGTACTCCAGAGTGTTGTTCAGCATGGGGGTGAGTAGAAAATGAAGGCTAATCATGTTTTGGGTGTACTATTCCTTTAAGACCTTACTATAGCTAGCTTTGATAGTTCTGGTTAAAAATTTTGTCACAAACCCATTAAGTGTCATAAATAACTTTCATCATTTTTTTTTTTTACCAGGCTTATCATGATGCCTGCTTGTGCTCCAAAAATATATGGATAATATTGTGTGCTAAATTAGGAAATTTGAATATAAAAATTTAAATCTTGTTTAGCTGTGTGTAGAGAAAAAAGCTATATATCTAGAAATAGTATAAAGTTATCTCCTAAAGTGCATACATGGTCCTGTTCAGCTGCTTTTATGAAAATATTATTTTAGTACTTTAATGCAAAACAAAACAAAAGGAGAAAATAAAAAACAGGAAGGAGATGGTTATTGGCTTCAGCCTTCAAGAGTTCGGAGCCTGAGAGAAGACAAAGAAAGGATACTTGCACAGAACGGTATGGATGTTTGCACAACAGGATTTAGTCAAGCAGTGAAGCACATCTTTATTCCTGCAGCTAAATATGTCTGAAAGCAGCTGAATTATTACAAAAACAGAGGTTTCTATTCAATCTGTATTACTGTTTCTAATACTTCCCTGAAAAAAATTTGATGCTGAAAACTAAACATCTGTGTTTCACTTCTGAGCTTCAGGCTGGAGGCGACTTAATACATTTGCTACTTGAGTTCATGTGGCCTAATGTCTTATGTAAAAAAAAAAAAAAAAGGGAGAGTAACAAGGCAACATATAGACATAGTGTTTTTAATAGCTGCAGGTGCCTTAGATACACCAGTTCACAATTGGGTTATTAGCCCATCATACATAAGGGCTGGAATTTGGTGTTGTTTTCCCTTTAACTTGATCTGAATACTTCAAATAGGTGTAGGACACTTAATTGTTACTGTGCTGAAACAAGCTTTCTCAGCAGGGCACTCCCTTAGCGATATGAGGAGGATTTTTGGTCATCCTCAAAGTAGAGACACTTCTCCCCCACACAGAGAGGAGACAGCTGAAGTGGCTCAGACATTTTCTTGGATGTCCTCTGGACGCCTCCTCAAGAGATGTTCCAGGCACGTCCCAGCGGGAGGAGGAGGTTCAGGGGACGACCCAGGACAAACTGAAGGAACTATGTATCATGGCTGGCCTGGGAAGCATCTCAAGCTTCCCTCAACAGAGCTGGAGGAGGTTTCTGAGGAGAGGGAAGTCTGGGATTTTGCGCTGAGAATGCTGCTCCGCGACCCCGTCCTGGATAAACGGAAGGTGACGAGACAAAACGTCAAACTTTGAGGATGAGCCAAAAGAGGAAAAGTCTAATCCAGTCGGAAAAAAAATGAACTTGTATCAATAATTAATGGTTTTTAAATAATATGGAGAATATTTCATGAGTGTAAGGACTGTTGGGGACTATACCCATCCCTTCACAGGAGCTATGGTGCATATTTCCAGAAAGCATCATGTCCAACTGGCTCCTAGCCAATGAATTAACTAAACTTTAAATGCCTCTATCTAAACAGATCTCTATCCAGTTGGGGATCTTTTGAAGGGGGATGAATGTGGATGTCCCTTCTGATCACATATGTCCAGCTGAAGAATTAGAGTTACTGTGCGATGCTGACATATCAATGTGGACTGAAAGCTTAGAGGAATGTTTCTAACAGGTTGATGAATCGATGCCATGGGTAAAGCTGGTTATTGTAGGAGGCCAAGATACATGAAAGTATGATGTCTGGGGATAAACAAAAGATTTTGTATGTATTTCTTTTTCAAGGATATTTAGGGAACGTTTTCCAGGCCAAGGACCCCTAAACTGATGGCAAGATGAAGCGGGGACCCCCTAATTATATATTTTGTATGGAATTGTGTTCTATCAAACTGGTCCTATAGTCACTCTATTACAGATGGAGTAATGTAACGAAAGTAATTTCTCCCTGGGATTATTTAAGTATTTCTGATTCTGATTCCTGGTTGATGGGACAGATGTTGTGAATGAGACGGTGCCCAGCTTGAAAGAGCTCCTGTGTGTCGCTGAATGTGTGCATTGATGACTGAAAGACATCTTCTGCTAGCCTCGTGAGACCATCCTGATCTCACGAGCTTTCAAGATTTCACTTGCTAATCAGTCTGGAGACTCTCCGTTAAAGAAAATTTGTAGCTGTTCACCAAACGAAAGTCCAATCAGCGTTGGCTTTGAGGCGGGTTGAGGTGTGACGCAACGAGAAGCGCGACAGTTCAGTCTAAAGAACATGGCGGCTTCAGCCGATGAAACTAGCGTTAGCGTGGCTATCGAGCAAGTTTTATCGGAATTACAGAGTATTTCTTCACTGAAAGAAGAGCAAAACACTGCTCTGGAGGCTTTTCTCGGAGGAAAAGATGTTTTTGCTCTTCTCCCGACTGGTTTCGGCAAGAGTTTGATCTATCAATTGGCTCCTCTTCGTCGTCGCTCTGTTAGTACGTCATGTCCTTCGTTGATCTGATTGGTTTATCACCAACATAGGCCAATCAGCTAACCAGTATTTTCGCCCCTTCCCAAAATTACTTCAACGGAAGGTTTCCAGATGGATATGCGGAGCAAATCCATCTGGCGGAGTCAGGTTAATCTTCTGCCTCAATTTATCTGTTTACTACAGTGTGTTGAATTCATGTTAATGTGTATTTAAAGACATTTCAATTAGTGGAAAAAACTGCAGGGTGGAATATAAAAAAAGTCTAATCAATAAACCCCCATGCAGTACCTTCGTGGACCCCCTGTTGAAGACCTCTAGAATAAGGCAGCTGGAACATAGTTCAGCTCTGTGAGGTCCTATATTGTCGCTCCTCACTTTCAACTTGGAGATCCCACCTAAGGCTTTTCTTCATACGCAGTGGGCTTCACTAAAGCCTTAAGCTCCAACCCTTGAAACTATCAGGTTACACTGAGCAGTTTTAATGCTGCCCAGGTTTTTCTTGTTGTTAATGATGGAGAACAGAGTAGACGCAGCATTTAACTTCTCTCTCCAACCATTCTGCTGGTAAGTAACTAAATAATCAACAGAGAATGTATTTTTGTTTACATGACTGTTCTCTCTGGGTTTGGGTCAGAGCCAGAGGAGTTCAGATATATTTGTGTGTTTTACAGCAATAGTAAGGTTGAAGTGGGGTGGACAGATGTCTCTGCAGTAATGTGGACGCTGCTGAGGTCCTTTGTGGTAAAGAGAGAGCTGGGCTAAAAGCCAAATGTTTTCGATATAAATGTCTGTCAATATCCTGACCCCCCCCACATATAATGGCTTAAATTTTGTTCCATTGCTGCAAGAAAATAACGTGTTTTGTGATAAATCAAAACCAGGTATTCAATTCAGTAATACTTTATTAATCCCAAAGGGAAATAATGTTGAAAATAAATGTTGCATTTTTTTATTTCCATCGAGTTTATGCGGGTGTTAATAGCTGTAGGCAGGGTGCTTCTTTAGTAGTCTGTCTTGCACCAGATCTGGAGAAGCCTCTGACTGAAAACATTTTGTTGTTGTTTAAAAAATCTTCTGAAGAGGATGCTCACTGTTGATCATAATGTTCTTCCCTTTATGAGGAATTCTCTTTTTGTTAAATAATCTCTGGGGCTCTAGAGGATTTCCTAGAGCAGAACCTGCCTTTTTTTTATTATGTTGTTGAGGTTTTTGAAGTCATTTGATCTGATGCTGTTTCCCAGGTAGATGATTGGGGATGAGCTCCCACTCTGTAGCATCTTGTTGCAAACACTGAAGGACCTAAGCTTCCTTAGGGAGTACAATTTGCTCTGTCCCTTCTTGTAGTTGGTTTCACAGTTGCGTCTCCAGTTCAGTGTGTTGTCCAGGAGAACACCAAAGTATTTACCTTTGTCTCATGATCTTAACAGAATTCAATTTGTTCCTGTGTCATCTGAAATCTACAATCATTCCCCTTGTTTTGTTGACCTTCAGGATCAGATGATTTTTTTCCACTCCATAACAAAAAATTGGTTCACTAACTCCCTACACCTAGATTTGTGTCCATCTTTGATGCACCCAATGAATGCAGAGTCATCTGACAATTTCTGCAGATGATAGGACTGTCTGGCACTGGATGTCCAAGGTGTTAAGAGTAAAAAGCAATAGTAATGGAGTTTTTCACAAAGTAAGTAAGTCAGGCTGAATTATGTTAAACGTTTTGGAGAAATAAAAGACTATGATCCTGACAATGCCGTCTGCCTTGTCTAAATGACAGTGGGTTTGTTAAAGCAAGTGTATGATGGCTTCTTCAACCCCAACCTCATAGCAATAGCTGCTTTTTTGTTTGCTCAGGTGAACCAACAGAAGTCTCTCTAGGACCTTCCTGATGTGGAATGTCAGGGCAACAGCTCTATAATGACTGAGGACTGTTGCCTGAGTCCTTGACATTTGCATGAAACAAGTCCAAAGCTTTGTTTTCTGTGATACAGCAGCTGACAAACTGTTGGAACATTGGCAGAGTAGCAGAGAGTGAGGTGTGATTAAAATCACCAGTTAATGCCATAAATGCATTTGGCTGTTGTGTCTGGAGCTTGGCAACAACAGAGCTGATTTCCTTACATGCAATGTCGGCAACAGCAGAAGTTGAATGTAAACGATTAGTAACACAAGACTGGTAAACTCTCTAGAGAAATAAAAATATGACTGAAAACCAACTGCAAACAGTTCACTATCTGGGCTGCAGTGACTTATACGCCATTTAAACTACCCTTGAAAAACCGTGCCGAGACCGGTCCGAGCTCAGTAACTGAGATAACTTATCGTGTGTAAATGGAAAGCAAACTGAACTGAACCGAGCTAGACACAACCGAACCGAGCTAACTGCAGACCAGCTCCAGAGGTGGGCTCAGCTTGGTTTTTCCCTGGCTCGGTCCTCTGATAACAAGTGCGCATGAGCAGAACGCGTCATCTCCGTCTGGCTGCACATCGCGATTCACACTCCATTCCAGTAGTTGGCGGTAATGCCCCTCCAGAAACAGAAGAACAACAACAACTTCTTCTTCAACTATAGACAACAATTGAAATCTTCTCCACGCAACATTTTAAATAACACCAAAGTACAGCAATAATAATCAAGCATAACTTTCTGAATGTGACAGCGCTGCCATTTTGATTTTCTTGATACCCTCCTTCTTCGTCTTCTTCTTCTTGTGTTTTATGGCGGTTGGCAAACAACTTTTGGTGCATTACCGCCACCAACTGCTTGATTTCCTCCTTTAATACTGGCAGTAATACCGCAGATCGTCACTAGGAGGCGAGGAGTCGAGGAACCGAGATAGCGTGATGTGTAGAAGGTCGTCAGAACCGAGCTCGGCCTGGTTAACTGATCCGAGCTCGGACTGGTCTTGACATGGATCGGTTTTTCAAGGGTCGTGTAAATGGGGTAAAATATTCCCAGTAACATGTCCTGGGTGACACCAGCTCTTGTTTACAAGCACTGTCAACCCACCTCCTTTGAGTTTTCCTGTGTTCTTTAAATCTCTGTCTGCTCGGATGGTCAGAAAACCTGGCAGAGAGACGCTTGAGTCCGAGGTATGATCCTGCAACCAGGTTTCAGTAAAACTAATAATGCTGCATTGGCGATAATCTGGCTGGGTCCTTGCAAGGGCTTGTATTTCTTCTAACTCTAGTCCTTAAGGTCTGACATTGGCCATAATGATTGATGGAAAAATTGGCTTTTTTTTCTTTTTTCTCTCTCATCTTTTGGCTAGTTGCTATGCATTCCTTGTACCTAAATTTCAACACAGCTGGTACTTCTGGAAGTAGTTAAAGTATTATCTCAGCTTTGGAGATGTTAATTAGCTGCTCCCAGTTGTAAAAATCAAATTCCTATGGTCACTGTGGTGACATATCATGACAAGTATCAAAAAAGGACAAAAATATCAGTAAAAATCCTTCCAGTTTCACAGCACTCAAAACTAGAAGCAAAATACATTAGAAAAAAGAAACTCTGACCCACAAATAGAAAAATTAAAGCTCTTGAAAAGAAAGAATATCAGAGTGAAGCTAGCAGAGCTAATCCAATTTGCAGCCACCTTAAGCAGCGCAATTTTCGAATTGAAAGTACAAAAGAAAATAAAAAGCTCAATCAAAAGAATATTTTGAGTATTTTTTTCCTGTTTTGGCTGCTCTTTTTCTCCAGGATGGAGTCAAAGCCAAACAGGAACAGACAAGATTATGCTTTTATAAGCAAATATCAAGTAATGCTTTTATATTTAACTATTATCCCAAAGTTTAAACAATCTAATAAAAAATTAAAGTGTTCCCATCGCTTAATGAGCTGTTTGTAAATACAAACATCTAAACCTACATAGACATGCGTATGCATAGAAATGTACATGCATACATGTGTTTAGAAGCTACTTAGGTCAAGAGTTGGGCTCAGAGATCTCTCTTTAACTGTCTTTCTGAGACAGAGACACCAGAGGAGCAAGTTTACCTTAAACATTTTCTAATATAGAAAATATTTATAGATCAGTGTTTCTATGTTCCTATTGTATGTATGCTTCTATCTCCTTGAACCCCAGTCAGCCTCGACACAAGACTGCTCAACCAGAGCCTGGTTCTGCTGTAGGTTTTTTTACGTTTCAAAGGCAGGTTTCCCTCTACTGTTGCTGTATGCATGCTCGGTGTGAGGAATTGTTGTAGAGTGAACACTATGATGCAAATTGTGAAGGTCCAGGGGGGTGTTATGTCAGGGGCAAATCCTGTTAATTTAATGACTGTATGCAAACAACTGGTTTTCCTTAGATTGACAACTTTGAACCTTTAATCTGACTGCATGACTGATTGAATTT